AAGCAGATGTCTATGCATCTGAGAATTTGAAGAAAAACAGAAAACCAATAAAAAGATCTGTAGATGAAGTAGACAAGAATATAATGGTGAAGAAGAGCCGGCCTATTGATATAATGAGTATAGTCCAGGGAGTCAAAAGTAGCACAACAAATAGGTCTGCACGTGAAAAGGAGGCTGGTAAATGTGCTAAGGTAGAAAAAAGTGCAGCTGGACTACGAGTGAAAAAGATCATGAGGAGACCTGGTGCCGAAAAGGAGTCAGAAGCTGTAGTACAGAAGCTGAGAAAGGAAATCAGAGAAGCTGTTCGTAATAAGCCGTCAGATGACATTGGGAAAAGCATTCTTGACCCTAATCTGCTAACTGCTTTCAGAGCTGCCGTAGCTGGATCTGTGGCTGAACCAGCTAAGAAGGTATCTTCTGCAGTGGTCAAAGCAAAGAAGTTAATGTTACAGAAGGGAAAAGCAAGGGAGAATCTCACAAAGAAGATATATGCAACATCTAGTGGAAAAAGAAGACGCGCATGGGATCGTGATTGTGAAGTTGAATTTTGGAAGCACCGCTGCTTGACAACTTCTAAACCAGAAAAAATTGAAACTTTAAGAATGGTTCTTAACCTTCTTAAAAGGAGACCAGAAACCAAAATTGCAGATCAAACTTCTGAGGAAGACACTACAGCTCCTATTCTTTCAAGGCTTTATCTAGCTGATACTTCGCTTTTCCCTCGAAAAGATGATATCAAGCCTCTTTCTGTTCTGAAAGCAGCTGCTTGTTCCAACCATAATAACCTGCTATCTTCAGGAGAAAGTACTATGGCATCTTTGAAAAGAAATGAGGATCCTGCTCTAAGTAATATTGCTTCTGCTGATGACAAGAAGAGTGTTTGCACCAGTAATAGAAATGGAGCTGTTTCCGGGAAACTTTATGCAAGTGGACACCCCGATAAGGTCTCTTCACAAAAGAAAATTACTGGTAAAGTGAATGACTTTAAGATTGATAAAAGGAAATGGGCCCTAGAGGTTCTTGCGAGGAAAACAGCTTCTGATGTTACGGGACCCATGCAACAGAAACAAGAAAATGCTGCATTAAAGGCTAACTATCCTTTGTTGGTATGTCATAATCTCATTTTAGAGTTTCCCTATCTATTATTCATTAAAAATTTGATGTATTTCTAATAAGCTTCTCTGGTTTCATTGACTGAGCAGGCTGAATTACCGACAGATATGAAACCTGAACTAGCACCCACTCGCCAGAATAAGATTGCGATATCAGTTCGGCAGGTATCTGCTACTTCCTGTAATTGTAAAACTACGAGTGTTTGCTACCTCTGCAGCAGTAACACTTAAGGTCTGCTATGGTTCAGAAATAACACAACAGTTGGTCATGTTATAGTTATATTAACAGTAGCACCTTATAAAATTTGGTGAATTGAAGCACCTTAATCCATGATTAACAGTTTGTTTGGATAAAGAAATGGGAAGGAAAATAAGGGGAGGGTGGGGAAGAGGAGAGAAGGGATAAGGGAGGGGAGGGAAGAATAACGAGTTTTCCTTCCAAATCTCTCCATTGTTGGAGAGATCAATTTCTTACAATTTAACCCTTCCATTTCTCTCCCCTCCAATTTCCTTCATTCCTGACTTGTTATCCAAATGAAAGATATATTTCATCCCTTCATTCCCTCCATTTCCTTCGATCCAAACATACTCTAATAGAGACACCGAAAAGTGAAGCAGCTTATAGTTGGCACGAGTCTTTATTGTCTATTGCAGTACAAAGTAATAGTTGTGTGAGCAATACCCATGGATCTATGTAACAATCCATGCTAATTTATATCCTACTTCTAAATGAGCTCTGTTCAAGAATAAATATGTAGTATTTAAAGAGAGAAGTAGCGAGATAACTAAGAAGTACATCTACCATTATATGGAAATCCAATAGTGAATAAAAGTGTGTCAAAAAAAAAAAAAAAAGAAAAGAAAATAGTGAATAAAGTGTACAACATGTCCGATTGGGCTGAGGGAACAATAGTTATCCACAAATTATTGTTTTGAATCTGCTGGTTAAATGTAGACTATGAAGGCAGTCACGCCTGATTCCTCTTAAAGGTTTTTTACATCAACCAATATGGTGGGACACTCTTCTCTAATGCCGCTGTATTATTTTGAACTCAATACGGTTGCTTTCAAGTGGTATATATTTTCTGATCATTTAATGGAGATTATTTGTTTATATGTTTGTGCAAAAATCATCAAAATAATCCACAAAAATATCATTGAGGACAAACGTAATTGCATTCATTCTAAGCAGGCACATAAATACATAATTTAATCATACACACAGAAATACAATTAGAATACAAAAAATAAAACAACTTTTATTTCAATAAAAGAGAGATTTATTGCTAATCCACAGCTGTGGAGATGTTTTTTCACTTTGTTTAGCATCTCATTAACATTGTCAGGGGGCAGCTAGGTAATAGTTTTCTCTTACCTTTTTGATTGAGCAAATCTTTACAAATGACCCTTTACAAGCTACATCTAACTTTCTAATTATTTAGGACGTTTGATCTGCTTGACAGAACAGTAGGATTATAATTGCTTGCTTGATAGAATGATAGGTTTGTATAATTGATCAATCTTCATTAAGGACTTATGCAGCTTTTTTTATACACAGACACAACTTTACCGCTTGACAGAACATTTCCTCAAGATGACAAATTTGTCATCTATGCATCGAACTGCTGAAACTGAGCTGGCTGTTGCGGATGCTATCAACATTGAAAAGCAGGTTGCGGACAGGTCCAATAGCAAGGCTGTCTATTTGAATCTTTGTTCACAGGAGATACAAAATCGTACAAATTGCAGTACTTCCAACACTCTGGCTGAACCCAGTCCTTCTAGCCCTGTACCACCAGTACCCTCCAGAGGTTACTCTGAATCTACTCTTTCAAGCCCAGTACCAGTATCCTCCAAAGATGACCAATCTTCGATATCATCACCTAAATCTGAAGCTGAGGCAGCGTTGAGAGCTGCTGGTCTTTTGTCTGATTCTCCTCCGTGTAGTCCACTCCAAAAGGTTGCTGATCTTAGTGGTGATGATAGTAAGCCTTTAGGAGAGGTCAAAGAAGAAGAATTAACAAGTATATTTGAAATGGATTGTCATCCTGATCTAGACATTTATGGTGATTTTGAGTATGATTTAGATGAAGAGGAGTATATTGGGGCTACTTCAATTAATGCATCAAAGGGGAAAGGAGAAGAGGGGGAGTCCAAAGTGAAAGTTGTTTTCTCCACTCGGAATACCTTTGAGTTAGACAATGCTTCTGAGGCTAAAGAGCAGGATTTGCTGAAGACTGATACACTGAGCACACCAGATTTACCTGCATGTCCCAATGATACGGGCACTGAAAGCTCACCCATGAAGGATAAGGTCAATTCTATACCACCTTCTGGAGACACCTCTCTGGATGGAGAATGTGAAGAGCTCTCGGTCGCAGAATATGAAGCGCTATATGGTCCAGACAAAGAGCAATCAATCAAAAAAAATTCTGACCTGGTTCCAGCCGACAATTCAGAATTGCAGACAGCCAATAAACTTAATTTTAGCAGTTCCAACCAGAATAAATTGACCACTGATTCTGTTCACAGCATTATTGTTGGGGAAAATTCTTCTGACTCTTCTGTCTTAAGAGAAAAGGCTGACAGAGGGAAGAATGATCTCAAGGTTGACAAGAAAAGTGATCATGCTGAATCAGTGCAAAAAAAGGTATTAACTTCCTCCAGTACATTTTTCTGGTTTGTGGTTCTTTGCTATTGCACATTAGTCAGTTATAGACCTCTGCTTAAATATTTGTATTACATTGTTTATCAAAAATGCCTTTTCGCATAAGCTTAGGTATAACTTGCATAGTTTTATGGCCGTGGATGTCAAGGAAACTTGCCTTTAGTGACAAAAAATTGAACGATATTGGGTGCAGGTAGAAGCTTTTATAAAAGAGCACATCAGGCCGCTTTGCAAGAGTGGTGTGATCACAGTGGATCAATATAGATGGGCGGTAGGGAAAACGACTGAGAAGGTGATGAAACATCATTCTAAAGCCAAAAATGCCAATTTTCTTATCAAGGAAGGTGAAAAGGTGAAGAAGCTTGCTGGGCAATATATTGAGACGGCCAAGCACAAGGAAAATAAGTGAAATTTTATGTCATTTATTACAAATTGATGAAAAATCCCCTTTTTAATATCTTGTACATAAGAACAGAATATTGAGACAAACACTGCTGATTTAGGCAATTTAACCTAGCATAAATGACAATCTGTAAAAAGAAAAAAAAAAAAAAAAAAAGAAACAGCAGTTTTACAATATTTTAACTGCCCTATTGTTCGTTAGATTGGGATTTTATCGTAATTTCAATTACATTCAAATAATAAACTGAAGTACAGTGTAGCTATCCTACGATAACCAAATGAAAAAAATATAATCAACTTCTGTTTTATCGACCTGAACAACTATCAAGAGAATCAAATGATCGAATTTTAAAGAGTGCCATCAAGTATTGTATTCGTTCCATCTAATCTTAATTACTACTAATCATTTAGACATAAATTTGAAGTAATTAATAGATAGTAATAATGGTCTAATGAACAATAAGTTGGTGATAACTATAAGGTGTAGCTATTAATTTAAGACGAGGGAACATAAGCTTTGTAATTTGACCTTGTTTTAACCCAACACCGGCGAGGCAGCATCCGTATAAGGGGTATATACAAGTATAATGCTATTTGTAATAAAAATTCCTTGATTTCTTCGTGTTCTTTTTAAAGGTCACAAAATGAAGCCTCTACCAACTACACCACGAGCTACTTTATGCAAAAGACAGTAGCTGATGTGATTACGCCAAAGAATGTAAACTCACTTCTTCCACCATCTCTTTGCTAAGACTTCAAGAGTTTTGGCGCACAAAGATTGAGACTGCATGGAATAAAAGTTGTTGTTGCAAGCACGCTTAAGGAAACGCTTCATTTGATTCGGGAGGGAGGGGATAAAAACAACAGAACGTGTACAATTCAGCATTTCCAGATGTTAAAGAACATTTTACATCACAAGAGTATGTTTACACAGCACTTCCAGAAACAACTACTCCCCCGATACAGCTCTCACATCGTTGGAAGATATATGCAGTTACAGATCTTGAATCACAATTCCCCATCCATGAAAGAGTAGAGCTTAGTCCGCCTTAGATTCAACTGAATCTCAATTCTGGAACCACATTACATTTAATACATTTATAAAACAGGAGAAGCACGTTCTTGACCCATGTAAACATATGCTCCTTCAGAACCCACCTTGTCGGCATTATGGCTTCCTAGACTATAGTCACTAGCCTCTATGGGCATAATCCTCGAAGATGTCTAATATCATCACAAGACTAGTGTTATGATATGTATTTTTCCATGACTTGCCTGGTGAAAAATAGGCAAAAATTGTGAGATTATGACCAAAATAGGCATGCAAATCGTGGAAGGTGACCATTAACTGCAAAGATTAGATATGCAAGCGGCAGATTCCAAATTTTGTTCTTTCCAAATTCTTCCAGTAATCCGAAGCTTAAGCTCTTTTTTATCCCCACCAGAGAAGAAAAGTGCTAATTTACGTTGAATGACAAGACCATCATGACTGTCTCTAACCTTTCTGTGGCTATCACGAATGCTTCGTGGGGTTCCCTCCCATGTCAATTTTCTCCCATAGCCACCCACCTCTAAGCTATAAGTGTACCGTCGAGCATCAGTTTCATCACCCATGAAACGAAGAAATGCCATATAAACAGGAGCCATGCCTAGCTGGAACGCTTCAAAATGCAAACAGAAATACTGACCAAAACAATGGAAAACCTGAAATGAGAGATATTGCAAGATAAATAAGTACTCCAAACAATGGTCAAACTTCCATGTACATATACCAACTAATCCTGAATTCCTATTACAGAGCTAGAAAAACAAGTTAACATTTGCAACTTAAGTTGGTTAAGAATACTTCAATAAATACTACTCCCTCTAACCCAAATATTAAGTAAACATCTACTTTTGGCACAGAGAATAACAAGAGTGGATGTATAGAGAATAGAGCGAATGGGTGCGAATTGGAACCAACTTCAAAGAAAAAAGTAGAGAGATACAGCTTTCTTAAGATGTTACTCTGTAACTTCTTTTTTTTGTGTGTGGATTCCGAAAATGGAAGCCTTGGCTGTGAGACAGAGAGTATATCCAATGATCACAGAACACTAAATGACTTCAGTATATGTTACTTGAACTCTCTGGTCCAAAATATAATAGCACATTGATCCTTGAGCACCAAACATAAAGCGGCACTAGGGCCTTTCAAGTTAAACCATAACCATCGAAATGAGCCAAAAAGCAACCATATATTACTACGAAAACCTAACTGAGCATAGGACTATGGTTGATAATGAATCATACAGCTAATATAATACTCATCACCCAATTTCCCCAAGATTCTAAATGCAACATATACCCACAGTAGTAGAACATAAATAAGGCACTTACTGTTAACATCCAGGTAGCATTGTCAACTTCAAGGGGGTTAGCTTTGACATAACGATGATTAAATGTAGAACCAGAGTGCATATCAACTTTATGATCATCCCTCAGATGGGTAACGAGGAAAGGAATATCCCCAACAACGGAGCATTCATAACCAGCATATGGGCAGCTGAATGGTCTAAAGTTACATAGGGCTTCATGCTTAAGTTTAATATAATAAGGAGAAATCTCCAGGCAACCAAATGGGCTGTATTTGCAAGGAAGATCTAGAGACTCGGCCACCTTCTCCAATGCCAAACATCTGATTTCTCCAAGCTCTTGTCTGCAAGTAGGGCACCGATTGTGAACCCTTGTCTTACACTCTGAACAAAGTGTGTGTCCGTTATGGCACTGTTAACAAAACCAAATTAGAAATGCAGTGAATAATCTATTCATAAAAAATAAAAAAAATAAAAAATAAATAAAAATAAAACAATTAACAATCAAATAGAACATTAACAGTCTCTAACAAGAATTTTATAACCTAGAAGCCTCTTTTACAATTGATAAGCAAAGAAAACTTGCGTTCTAACAATGTTATATTTAGAATTAATCAGGACAATGGTATAAAAGGAACAGAACAGAGAAAAGTGAGAGCATTCCGCATCAAGAGCAGCGAAATTAAGAGGGATCAATCAACATTAGATACCACAAGAAAGATTCCACTTCCAATTAACACAGTATTAGATAATTTTACTGTTTAAATTTTAACAGCATCATACATTTTTAATCCAGCTAATTTTATCAACTATTTTAATACCAAATCAGTAATGCAATTCCACTCCTAGTCATTTCCTGCAATAATTGAAAACTAAAACTCACTATCTATACAACAATCTTCCACAAACATGGGAAAAGCAGAAACTCAAACCATTTCCACAAAAATGGAAGACCTTTGTTCAGGCAATCTGTGTATGCTAGACAACAATTCACAATCCTATCATAAAGTTCCATGATTATGCAATAAACCATCCAGCATAAACTATGAAAAGTTGCAAACTTTACAAGATAATCAGCTTTTTGAGATCCCTATAAATCTATTAATATCCTCAAACACATATACAGAAATTTTCAGCTTTAAGTACACCAAATTATCACCATAATCCACATTTCAATCCTTTTCACTCTATTCTTCCCCTGCTACAAAAGTTCAAAATGTGGGTATTTTGCCTGCTTTTCATAAAGTAAAATAAATTAAACCCCAATTCTCAAAATTCAATTGAACAGCACAAGGTATCTCCCAAAATCCTGAAATCCCCAAATTTATTACTTTTTAAAAGGATTCTTACAAATCAACAAAACCAAAACTTGACTTTCATTTTCCCCCAATCTAAAACCCAAAAATAGAAGCTAAAATCAATTTAAATACCAGCAAAACAATAAGAAATCCATTGAAAAATATTGCAAAAAATAAGAAATTTAACACAACAGAGAGAAAAGAACCTGGTGAATAGGAGGGTACATAGCATGAGCACAAACTGGACATTCAAAGATTTCAACAACGCTATTAGTTGTCGAAGGAATTAAAGGCGACGTTAATTTCCTCCTTGATTTTGAAGATTGATTGTGATTGTGATTATGATTATGATTTTGAGGGTAATCAATCTCAGCTTCATACAATCTTTCTGTAGATGACGACGACGTCACACATTCAATCCTATCTTCTTCCATCTTGTTCATCTTCCTTTTTCCCCTTTTTTCGATCCAAACCCAGAAATTAATTAATACCCATCAACCAAAAACCCAAAAAGATTTAAAATTTCCGATCAAATTTAATTGGGATTTGACAATTTTTGGCTGGATTTGTCGGAAAGATTTTTTTAAAAATAAATAAATTAAACCTGTTGTTTTTGGGAATGTTGAGAGAAGAAGGAAGAGAAGGATGGAGAGGAAAGAGGGAAATGGAGTTGAAGGTGCTTTGCTTTAATTCGTTGGCTTTTTCTCGAATTTTTTACAAAAAATAAATAAAAGGGTGTTTGATTGAAAGTGATAATGATAATTTATATTAAAATAATAATAATGGAGAAAATGATGATGATTAGAGGAGTATATTATTATGGAGTACGGAGCACTAATTATGTGTAATAATAAGGTTAATTTTTTTGGATTTATAAATAATTTTATTTTTTATAGAATTAATTAGGTAGGGTAAGAAAAAATGTTGGGAGAGGGACAGATGAGTCAACCTGAAAATCTTTTATTACAAAAATTTAAAATAAATTAATAAATAAGGATTTAAAAAAAAGGACTAATTGAAAATAATTTTGGCATTGTCTTACTCTTCCCCAATCACCATTGGAGTTATGACTTCTGACAGGCAAAGCTTAAATGATGGTACATTGTCTTCTCTTAAAGGGGTAAACTTTTTTGAATTAGAATTTTAAAATTTTGTTGAAAATCAAATATACCTTGGTAATGGTATCAAATGTTTGCTAATGGATGGACATCTAAAGTCTAAACTGGCCAATGAATTTGTATTTGAAATTTTGAATCTTCAAATGTTTTTAAAGGTCTAATCTAAATTAAGGTCTGTTTAGTTCAACTTATCTAACATCAAACTCATTCGTTGCATTGGTTCTTACCAAATAAGAGGATAATTCACTTTACTAAAATGTTTGCTCCTAATCGTCTATAGAGTTTTGAGCTAGTGACCACTAGATGTATTGGAGGTTCGGAATAGGTCCTTAATGACCGATATATAGGATCTCACTGGCTACGGATGCCTCTGTCTGTCTCAACCCAAGTCTATTTTCCATGCTACGGTCTGATTTGATATGTTTTTTTAAAAGTTCGAAAGGCCCTACTAAACCGGTGAGTTTTCTACCAACTCCACCAAACTTTACAGTCTAATTTGATATGATTTGGTGTGACATGAGATTTTACCAAACTTTGACTTTTTGTGTATATATATTCTATTATAGAATAATAAATAATATATCAAATGGGGACTTTTTAGATTCGTAATAACGTAATTTTTATAATTTTTTTAGTACGAAATTAAAAATATTTAGCAAAAAATAATAAACATATAAAACGATAAAATATGTCATAACTTATTTTTTTCTAAGAAAATTTGTTAATTACTATCCTAAAAAAGGGCACTTTGTCAATTAATGCTCCTAAAAATAAAAATTGTTAATTATTACCTTACAAATATAAAATGTTGTTATTTACAACTCCTTCCGTCTCCTAAAAAAACGACCCTTTTGGAAAGTATCACGGATATTAAGAAACTTTAATGAGAAATACAAGTGTACGAGAAAGCTAATAAAAGCACATTGAAAAGGTAAATATATATGGGTTTTGCAAAAAAGTAGAGAAAAAGTAATAAAAGTACATGGAAAAAACAAAATTTACATGGGGAAGCTAATTTTGCACAAATATTATTGTAAATTGAAGGGTATTTAAAAGTAAATAGGATGAACACCTTGGGAATAAAATTTAGCCAAAAGGGTCGTTCTTTAGGGGGACAGAGGGTGTACCTTAAAAAGTGACTAAGCTGTTTGATTACTATCTCTAGCCATTTTCGAGTGAATCTAAAATTGTTAGTTGAGACGAACACTACAAGAAGGGGGTGAATTGTATGTGAGTTCCTATTGACTATTTTGCGGAATTTAAACAGAATATAAAGGAACTTAGCAATGCACACAAGATTTTACGAGGAAACTTTCTAGGGCCCAACTGGAAGTAAAACCTCGACCCTCCAAGGGATTTCACACACCAAATCAATCCACTATAATAGGGCAAACTCTCCTAGTTACAACCTATTATAATCAGACCTTTACTCACGAGTTCCTGATTGAACTTGCTACTCAATAGGACCCTATTCTACCCAATCTAAATCCCAGACTTAGATTCTACTCGACACTCCCTAAATGTCTACTCACTTAGCTTCAATCTAGAAGCCTACAATCTATATGCAATAAACTAAACACTCATCCAAATCAAAACAATACAAACTCTTGACTCTAATATGTGATAGGAAAGCTGGATTATCTCATCATACGCTGTATTGTTTAGGATACTTGGGCTTCACGCATACCAGGATTGAGTCCCCGCTGTCCTTCACTCTCCAACTCCTTGTTGGAATTTTGGTCTAAGTTAAGCTTCTCAACTTGCTGTCAAGCTCCAGTTAGAGAGCTTCTCTTCATGTTCCTGTTAGAGAACTTAGTTAGTTCCACTGAGGAACTCTTCTTCTACTTTCTTTAACTTTCCTTGGAATCTCCTTGTGTCTTCATAGTCAGATTACTCTTCCATTTCCAAAGTCAACTTCACCTGTTCTAGTTACAACACTTAGAGAAATCGCATTAGTTGAAGTTTGCTTTTATTCATCATCATCAAAACTCTTAAGCTTCAACTCACACACTTGAACATAACCTTCAAACACAAGCTTAAACACATACTCTATATTTGGCATAAGTTACTTGGCTCCAACCTTCCACCCAAAAGTGTCTTTGTGTGGAAGTGGTGTGTTAAACTTTAGGGAACCAATTCTGAAGAGCAGCAAAAGATGTTTGGAAGACACTTTGATATCGGAGATGAGCTTGTTAGCTATATTTCCAGAAAATCTATTGATGTGCTCAAAGTTAATTACAAGGTGAGTAAATAACTTCATTTGTTACACATTCATCGGTACCAACATGCATGCTGATGTGAACTGAAATTATCCTATGCCTAATGATGAGAATTGAAGATTGCTTGTTAAATTGAAGAATCTGTTTAAGATACAGTAAAATTCCATTGCTATTCCGACATGTTTGTGTAGATAAGCGAGTCTTACTTGGAGCTGAAGTTTCAACTTGAAGTACAAAGTTGGTTGTTGGATACCAACTCAGGTTCTCTTCTTGTCATCGGAGTTTTGTCACCCTTCAACTGTATTGCTTGCTGACTGTCATTTAATCCTACTACATCGAAAACTAGAGGAGCTAGATGATGGGAACTGATTGACGTCCTTTTTGGCATTTGCCTTGTATTTTTTTTAATCTTTTGCAGTTTTCTGGATAGAGGGGTTGCGTTTATGATATTTGCTGTTCAATGTTTTTGAATAACTATTTGCTTAGAATAAAAGATTACTTTGACGAAGAATCTTAGGTTGTTCTTTTGGCAAAACGTCATCCACCAGTCCCCTGCTGCGATGGTACGACTAATATTACAGCACTAATCATAAAGGCACTATTTTGGAAATTAATACAACAATTTTTTTTCTATAAACAAGACAGATTGACTCCTTTAAGATATTCTTTATCGTGCATCCCCTTTACGGTGTAATAAAAAGAGAATGGAGGAAGTTCATCACTATATTCCTAGCTAGATCTACTCTACACTAATTATATGAATAATTTGAAAACGTAACAACTTAATTAAATTTAGGTTGTTCTTGATCCAGTCATTGTTTAATGGTACAAGTGTTGAAGGATCTCTTACTCTTATTACTCCGTAATTTACTTTTAAGAGCAGATTGATGCATGTAAATAGGTTGAATATGAACAGGTAAACTTAAGAAATACGTACAATTTCATCAATGTTCTGATTTTTAGTAGTACGGAAGTCAATAACAAAGTCATTGTTAGACCACTTAGACGTTAGTAATCTTGTATATAACGGAGTATGATCACTCGGAAACAATAAAGTTTGGATCTTCCTTCATCTTATGTACTGCTCTTAAATACTCCGTATTGATTATGCCTTATGTGTATACAGATTAGGAGGGAAGAAAAATAGTAATGATAGATTTAGCAGATAAAGCTTGGTTATATTGATGAATGAGTTTTAATAAATATTTATACTTAATACAAACTACATGCATGAGGATGAAATATAGTTTATTCATCTAATTATTTAATTTTGGCTTGAATTAGGGATATATTTTGAGTAACAAGTGAAAACCATAGTCATGCAAAAACTCAAAATGACATGCCTAATCTAAGATAAGAATGGGAGTTTTTGTAGGTAAGAAGGATTCTAATCAAACCTCAACCTCAATTTTTTTAGTTTGGTATTTACGGATACAACTCTTGAAAGAGAGGGGGAAAAGCATAAGGCATCCCACTCTTAAATTAAAGTTGATATTGATTGAACCCTCAACCTCAAGTTAAAAAGTCCAACATTTAATATTTTTCACTGAGTTACGCTTATTTTGGTGAGTGTTGTTTAACTAGTTATATAAACATTACCATACAGAAGTTTGGAAGACGTCTTGAACGTTAGATATCCTGGCTATTCAGCATTTGCTAGCTTCACATCCATGGTACGGAGTACAAACTACAAATTATCAATTAAGCTCTTCAAAAAACTTTTGTCGGTGGTGATGAGCGACTTATAGTGCAAATGGTACGAGTAATGAAGATTGGGAGGTCAACAATATATTTGTTCCCAACATAAGGAAACCAAGGTTAGAAGACCAACTAACCATTAAACAATTTGTCTAAAATGACCCGTTGGTATGTTTTTTCACGCAATCAGCTTCCTCTGAATTTTTTTGAAACCGTATATGTTCTACCTACGCTTTTACCCTCAGAAATTTACGCTTTAACAACCTAATAACGCTCTTAGCAATACGGGTTCATCTAAGTTGTTGAAATCTACCAAACCATGAAGTGTTTGAAATAATTAAGGATCCTAAACAATTTTTTTTTTGAAGAATCCTAAACATTTATTTTACGGAAATTTCACCATATACCACTGAGTTTAAGCATAATTCACCGTATACCACCAAAAACTTTCTAATACACCATATACCACTCAGTTATTGTATATTAACACAAAATGCCCTTTTTGCTAACTGTCGTTAGTCTGCCGTTTGAGGGACTTTACCATTATGCCCTTATACATCTAACTGGCGCCATTGATAGGGTTGACTCCCCCAAACATAATTTTTCTATTTTGAAAAAATTGACCCCCCATTTCCCCTTTCCATTGAGGCTTCTCTCTGTTCTTCTCCATTAAAATCGAACCCCAAAATCAATCAAA